TCTGGCATCGACTGCTTAGAGCGCAACTCTTTCCAGAGCACTCCGCCGCAAAAGGATTAAAATCGCTTTGCAATGAGCACGACTAGCTCAACATTCTGAACGGAGAGGGGCGGAGTCTGAAGTTGTTCCTCGGGTGATAGATCGTATGTATACGAGCAGGTGGAAGAACAAGAGTTAAGGCAAAGGTGCACGAAAATGCGACTCATTAACAAAACAAAAAAAAACATTTAATCGATACTGAAATAAAATTAACAAGGAAAGAAAATCAAAGAAAAATAACGTGTAATCAGGTGCGACAGATTATTGAGAACGCCGTCTAAGCGGTCGTTCTGGTACTGGCGCGTTTGCACCGTTGCCCCCGCGACCCGACCGACCATCCGTCGGGTCACTCGCCGGCGCTTCGCGCCACAATAACTCACACGACAGGCATCTGATGCGCTTCCGCCAGAAGCAAGATCACGTGCGTGTCAACAAATATAAACACCGGCCCGCCAAAACAACGGTGGGATATAAAATTTGACCGACGGAGGCATCGAGGCCGATTTCGCCGGAGTCAGCCAGAGCGATACGTTCGCAGGTTGCTCCGGATCCCAATCCTCCGTGCCGAGGGACCGAGACGGTGCGTCCGCCGTTTCAGCTGCGCGTTCGCAGTCGTACTCGCCATCCTTCCTCGGGACGGTGTGCTGCTGTTTCCTACGGGAGTTCCCGGTTTACATCCGACCTCCGACCGACTGGTATCCGGCCAAGACAAGTCCGGGGTGACGACTGCGCTGTCTCAGCCGAGTATTGTTGGCCAAGTCACCGCCGACCGAAAAAGACTCCGGGTCCCTCGCGTTCACCGCGCCGGGTTGCACGCGAGCAACCGAGCGAACAAAACATAGTCCGTACGAGGTATGTTCAAAAAGTATCGTGAATTTTGAATTTCCGCGGGTTACGTATATTCGATTTTCGATTTTTTTGTGACGTTATGTTGGTACTTATGTCTCTCACTTATGCCGACAAGTTCGGCCATTTTGAATATTCAGTTTATCTTTGATAGCTGTTTTGCTTGGACGTGTTTTGGCTCGTCTTCGATTTTTGCCTATTCCAAAAAATGGATCAAAGAATCTGTATCAAATTTTGTGTGAAAAACAAAATTAAGTGCGCGGACGCATTCCGAATGTTGACTGTGGCATATGGTAAAGCTACCTTGGACCGAAGCAACGTTTATCGGTGGTACAAAATATTCTCAGAAGGCCGAGAAGATGTGAACGACGAAGAGCGTGCCGGACGTCCGAGCACGTCAACAACAGACGAAAACATTGATGAAGTGAGGAAAATAGTATTGGCCAATCGTCGAATCACCGTTAGAGAAGTTGCTGAGAACCTAAACATATCGATTGGCTTGTGCCATTCGATTTTTACTAATGATTTGGGCATGAGACGGGCATGAGTCGCCGCGAAATTCGTACCAACGCCCCTGCTCACACATCGTTGCTTGTGCGCGAATTTTTTGCCAAAGACAACACACTAATAATGCCGCAGCCACCGTATTCCCCAGATCTGGCCCCCTGTGACTTTTTCTTGTTCCCGAAACTGAAGAGGCACATGAAAGGACGACGCTACGCTACGATTGAGGAGATAAAGACGGCATCGAAGGAGGAGCTGAACAAGATCACAAAAAATGATTTTTTGAAGTGCTTCGAGGATTGGAAAAAACGTTGGCACAAGTGTATAATATCTGATGGGGATTACTTTGAAGGAGACAAAATAGATATTCATGAATAAATAAATAATTTTTGAAAAAACACAAAATTCGCGATACTTTTTGAACAGACCTCGTATATATCAAAATTTACAGTTATAAATTTACAGTCAAAATTTTATAAAACGGATATGATGCGTCTGATCTAAAATAGTTTAGCTAAAAATGAAAGATATTACTGACCGTAAATTATTTTGTATATTTATCAACAAGCAAATATTTAACGTTTCCGTACAATTTCGATAATTATTATTTGAAGGTTTATTTTTCAAATTCTCTATTATATTTACTTTTTAAATTCTTTAATAATATTTTATCCAGGAAAAAAATGTTTTACTATTTTTAGGTTTTCGATGATTTGATGAGTAAACTGATTGAAGGCGATGATTACGATCCAACTGAATGGAAAGAGTTTAGTACGTTCAAAACAATACAATTTGTATATGTTTGGGGACAGGACATGTGTAAAAACATAACAAAAACCAAAGCAGCAAAAGAGCTTTTAGAAACGGTCAAGAATGTTGAATTTGATGTTATAATACAAGACGTTACATTAAATCAATGTCTATACGGATTATGGGAGGTAAATAAATAATTTAAAATTAAAAATAACGTTAAAGTAGTTACTTGTACTAATTAGAGTAAAATTTATATAAACTTAATAATAGTAGGTTAGTGATTAATTGTTTACATATAATATTAAAAATACTATTGTCAGCAATTCCTGATGACTTAAAAACTTATACAAAATTGATAGAGATTAAAAGTATCTCAACGTTTTATATGAGTGATTGAAATTAATGGATATGATTTTTAAAGGTTACGCTTATTTTTCCTTTACTATCATTCCAGATTCGACGGCCCAGCCGCCGTATAATAAGAATAAAAGCACATATTTTAGACAAAAAATTATTAGACTGTATAAATTTTTCAACGATTATAATGCTTTTTTTAAATTTATGACTTGATTTATAATTTAATCGTGCCCTTCCTTGAATTAGAACCTCAATTATAAGTGGTAGCCCAAAATGTTTGTCAGAAATATAGAAACTGTGAGATACTGAGTATCCTTCATCAAATAAATTACACTTCTCAACAAAATTAAAAAATCACCTAAAATCAGCGCAAAAAGGAAATAAATTCAAAATTATATTTCTTTGCAAAAAATGGGAAAAGAGCGATATTCGAAAAAACAAGGTAGAACTTAAAGCTTCAGCTTTCAAATGTTTCAAAATGCGTTAATCTGTAAAGATTTTACTACAAACAGCGCTAATTTAAAGTGAAATTTACAAAATTAAAGATTAAAGTTCAATTTTGATAGCGTGCTTGGGAAGAATAAAATTTTTGCCTCACATATTTTTAATTGTATCGTAAAAATTATCATTTTCCACTAAATATATTTTTTAGTCACTGCGCTATGATTCTTTCTGAATGAGTTATGACGATTTGAAGTAAGTATATTTTCAAGTTTTTTCTCTAAAAATTTGTATTATGCTGTCTATATTAGTATTATCCAAGATATACCGTAAGGAGATGACTTGGTCAGACTTACACCTTGCGCGCACGCGCGTGTGTCATAGCAGAGATAAGGGACCCCACGATGCATCACTCTTGCGGTATTTAATGACTCCAAACCCTCTCTGTTGTGTTATGCGTCTGTATATTTATGTGTATACGCATGTCTTGAAAACATGAGTTGTCACCTCTGCGACGAATCACTTTTTGACAGTGTTTTCGCATATTGATAAATTGTTGGATTAGGTCTTGCGGAATTTCACATCAGATTTGTTAGAGAGTGCCGCTGAATTCTTGTAAATTTAGGAGCTGATTGGAAAAATCTCCCAACGACCATGAAAATTTTTAATTTGCTCTATTGGATTTAGATTTGGATTTAATGATGGCGGATGATCCAACGTAATAATATTGTTTCTTTGCAAGAAATCTGTTGTATATCGAGCAGTATATACACGAGCATTATCTTGCATCAAAATAAATTTTCCTTCCATATTCTGCAAAAATAATAAATAGGAACGAATAATTTCATCAACATAACGCGTAAAAGTAAGCACTGGTAGTGGCACCATCATAAGTTCTATTCGACGGAAAACAGAAATTTCTGTCCAAATCATTGCAGAGCCATCTCCAAGTTTTTATGTTTACCACATGACGTCGTTCAAACTTTTCTCCACATCGACTCCAAATTCTAATATGATGATCATTTCCGTATAGGATGAAACGTGACTTATCAGTGAATAAAACCGTTGTCCATTGTTATGCAGTCCATTGTACATAAGTTTATGTATATTCTAAATGAGCTCGATGGTGATTTAATGTTAGCGCTGAAACACTCTTTCTAGATTTTAAACCAGTTTTAAGCAGTTTTCACCATATATTCTGATTACTAACGCGATTTTTTTGTTAGTGTACAATAACTTCGTTTATCACTTGATTCGCAATATTAACAGGATTACTGAAAACTGATCTGACGATCTGTCTATGTAATCTCCTGTTAGTGACATGTCACGTCCCCTAGAGATTTTATTCACTGACAAATTACATTTCACCTTACATAGAAATGATCGTCGTATTAGAATTTGAAGTCGACATGGAGAAAACTATGAACGACGTCACGTGGCAAATATATAAGCTTGGAGATGGCTCTGCAATGATTTGGACAGAAATTTCTGTTTTCCGTCGAATAGAATTTGTGATGGTACTATTTGTAATGGTACCACTACCAGGGTTTACTTTTACGCGTTATGTTGGTGAAATTAATAGTTCCTCTTTATTATTTTTGCGAAATATGGGAGGAAAATTTATTTTGATACGAGATAATGTTCGTGTATATACTGCTCGATATACAACAGATTTCTTGCAAAGAGACAATATTATTACGTTGGATCATCCGCCATCATTAAATCCAAATCTAAATCCAATAGAGCAAATTAAAAATTTTCATGGTCGTTGAGAGATTTTTCCAATCAGTTCCTAAATTTACAAGAATTCAGCGGCACTCTTTAACAAATCTGATGTGAAATTCCGCAAGACCTAATCCAACAATTTATCAATATGCGAAAACACTGTCAAGAAGTGATTCGTCGCAGAGGTGACAACTCATGTTTTCAAGACATGCGTATACACATAAATATACAGACGCATAACACAACAGAGAGGGTTTGGAATCATTAAATACTATGGGAAAGACAAACCCCGGGTCATTATCTTTGCTGTGACATACACACATACTACTGTGATCAAAAAGTATCCGAACTTTATTTTTTAAAAATCGCGGGAAAACTGTAAATCAAATCTGTTTACTTTCATAAGTTGGTATACATGTTCTTTATATTTAGTGAAAAAATCATGGCGTTCTTTCAAGCGGTTTGTTGAGAGTAGCAGTTGTTTATGTCAGTGAACATTTTTGTGCGCTGCGATTTTTATGATGTTGAAAAATATAGAGGATAGAATTTGTTTGAAATTTTGTGTTGCAAACGAAATTTCGTTCACAAACGCATTTAAAATGTCGCAAAAAGCTCATGACGATGATTATTTATCGAAAACAAGTGCGTTTGAGTGATTTAAGAAGTTTCAAGAAGGCCGCGAATCTGTTGAAGACGACCTACGCTCTGGAAGACCATCAACGTCAACGGATAACTCTCACATTGAGATTGAGAAAGAATTGGTACTCGAAAATCGTCGATTGACTGTGCGAGAGATAGCAGATGAAGTTGGAATATCATTTTGATCGTGCCAGCACATTTTGTCTAGTGTACTGGACATAAAACGGGTCGCATCGCGCTTAATTCCGAGAAACCTGAATTTTTCCAAGAAGAGAATCGAGCGTTAGTTTCATTTGAGATGATTTTTACGGTATCCAGAGACAGAACATACATGGGTTTGCCAATACGACGTCGAAACAAAGCAACAATCATCGGAATGGCGTTTGAAAAATGAAGCAAAACCGAAGAGAGCTCGCCTTTTGCAATCACAAGTCAGGGTCATTCTTACGGTTTTCTTTGATTATCACGGTATTGTGCATCAGGAATTCCTTCCAACTGGTCAATGGAGAATACTACTTGTTTGTCATGAAGCGTTTGCGCGAAGCAATCCGTAAAAAACGGCCGGAATTGTGGGAAACCAACTCGTGGATTTTGCATCACGACAACACACCATCGTATGCCTCGACACTTGTGCGTGAATTTCTAACAAAAAACTCAACGAATGTTGCTCCACAAGCATCGTACACATCAGACATGATCCTCTGCGACTTTTTTCTGTTCTCCCTATTGAAAAAACCACTTTGCGGACAGCGTTTTGAATTATAGCGTAATGACTAGAAAAACATTTTAAAGGAAAGATGTTACATCTTACGATGCAATTAAGAAAACTTGGGAGCAAAAATTTTGTCATATATTTTATTAAATTTGAACTTAATTTTAATTTTACAAAGTTCACTTTAAATTAGCGCCGTTTATAGTCAAATCTTTGTATAGTAACATACAGTAAGTGGCATAAGAGCGTACTGCTTGTTTCCCTTGAAAAAAATGATTGATGAAAATCAAATGTATAGTCTTGTTCTACAAACTTAGAACTAAAATGCGTTTACCTAATATGACGTCCAGTTTCCTGCATTGTCGATTAGTTTGACAACGTCGAGGCATACTTTCGATTTTCAGCCAAAATCTCTGGAAATGGTCTCCATACTTGTCGTAACTTATAAGATAAATGTTTCAAATTCAAGACACGTTTTCCCCCAAGCTTCAACTTTATGGCTGTTCACATTTGAATTAGATTGGCAACTGGAGATTAGGAGGGCCAATTTATTGAAATTATGCCATTTTCGCGTTGTCAGTGCGTGACATGCATGCACGACTTTGATGTTTGGGATCGTTGTCTCCTTGAAGTACGCACGAGTTATTATCGGGTCCAAACCATCTCTTAGCGGATTTTAATAAATATTTTTCATAAATCATATTTATCTTCTCAGCATTTAAATTGTTCGTAAAGAAGCATAAAACTTCAAATCCCTGTTTACAAAAGTATTCACAGGCATACACTTTAAGAGAATGTTTTATTGTTTGCTGAACAAGGGGTTTCACTCTTTTTACGAGTCAACCGTGCCCGTTTTCTTGGAAACCATGCTCAAAATGAAGTTTTATCATTAAAGATAATTTTCCAAAAATCACAGTAAATATTTTCCTTTGCCCACAGTAGTCGATCTTTAACGTGTTTCGGATTTAAAAGTGATTTTAGTACTATACTGTGCCATTTATAACCAGAATCAAATAATCAATGTTTGATGTTCTCATAATCTCATAATCATAATTACTTCTATATCGTTTCTATATCGTTCTTTATATATTATATAATATTTTCTGAGAAAATCATAAGGAACATGCAGAATTCTTCTCAAGTATTCTTACGATCATTTTGTCCAGTCTTTTTGTCGTAACGCGTTGAGAGCCTCTTTTGGCAGATCGTCGACCGTGTTCCTCTCATTATAACGTTTCGCGCACTTCTTTACGAATTCAGAAAATTTATCCATGTACAGGGTGCGGCGAAAGGTATGCCCTCATTTTGGAG